GGGGAGATGAACTCTCCTGGCTGTGACCGTTAATGTGCTTAATCAATGGTACTAACCCTGTTTAGGGCATGGTTTTACATTTTATCAATGTGAATCATGCATCATCCTTGTGTTATGTGGAGGTATTCCAGATGTGACGTGAAGGTAGCAGGTGTTTTATTTCTCTAAGGTTAATTTAAATCTTATGCCACTGAAAATCACTTATTGTGTGAATAATATACAAATAGTGAAAGCAATGCAAACTGTGGGTGTGAAACCAAGCCAGTCTTGACCTAGACCGAGTAAGTGTCTGGACTGCTGACACATCTGGGTCTAGACAGGCTTGGTATCAGGGTGCTCTCTGCATGTATACTGGTTTGTTAATGGGAGAGCCACCAGAGGCAGTAATAATTAGAAATCCCTCTCACGATGTTGACCTCATTCAGACATTCAGCTCATTGCTTGACAGACTGTCCATTTATGTATCTGACTGATATTTTTGCAGACTCACAGCATAGTAGTAATCTGTGTTCATTTAACGTAGGGTCTTCTGATAGTTTTCCATGTTTCTCTCTCTCTCTGACTGGAATTTAGTTTGATAACATTTGCAATGGCTGATATTCACTACATTATTAATGCAGTGTTTTAAGTTTGTTTATTCTTTTATCTTTCAGTTCACTTTGGGGGCTTTTACTTGTAAACAGGTCAGCGGGAAGGGGTCAAAGGTCCTAAGATCAAAGGTTAGAGCTTATACAAGACTAACTAGTGAATTTGTACAACCAAAGAAATCTATTTTGTGGTTCAGGAATAATACATTTTAGTTTTCATTTATGAATGCTGATTCCCTGTATTGTGCTTTTTGTCCTCGACAGATTGAATGTGGGAAAAAAACGTAAGACAAGAATGAGGCACATTAGGTGTGGAAAGTCAAAAAGGCAGTGTTGTTTGCACATTGTGTGCCAATGTGTAAACATTTGACACAATGTTAACCTGTAAAGTGCACATTAACAATGTTAAAAGTTGATCTTGACCTTTCTGAACAGGCTGTGGACAAGTCAGGCTAAACCACTTCTGTAAACTGAAGCACTGCCCCAACAATACTTAACAAGGACACTGTCATCTTAAAAAGATTATTCAGCTGTTTCTCGTTTTTCATACATACAAAACAATACAAATTTATATTATAAAACAAAATTACGTTTTTTACTTTTGAAGGTACAATTCACTGCCAGTAAAGGTTGCCCCAGTGTTTGAGATATGGTTTACTATGATGACATGTCTACCAACCACATCGATTTAAACATTTTTAGTGTAATACATATTATTTACCTTTTACAGAGCAGTACAGAGGAATGTAGGCTGTAAACCTAATCTTCACTTTGAAAGTAGAGTGAAGATTCAGTCTCCTTAGATGGGGGGTCATAACTTAGTGAATTGTACCAGAAACAGCAAACAAAAAGTAAAGGAAAATGTTTTTCTTTTATTAATTTTCTTTCTGTATAACAGAAAAGCAATGTAACAGGGTGAAAAAACACATTTAAAAGAGATGAATGCATTTCCTGAAGATGCTGATTGTTGAAGGGAGAGCAACCAGTGTGGGTGTGTGTGTGTCACTGTGCCTCTGTGTGACACTGGATTGCTTTGTGTACTTTTGGGTGTTTGTTATTTTCTGTATGTGTGTGTGTTACTCTGTTGCTGTCTGTATGTGTGGTACCATGTTAATTTTAATGTTTCTGTTTTAAGCAATTAGCTCAACAGGACTCATGCTACCAAGAAGGTCAACCTATTTATTATTATTAACATAGTTAACATAGAGGTTTTCATAGTATTACAACATATTAGTACTGTCTAGTGCTTGAAATGAGGGTAGAAGTACTGAATGGGCTAGTACTGACAGGGATATTGCAGTAGTAGCAGGTGAGGACATGTATCATGGATCACAAGACAGTTAACACAGATACTGACTGACTGTCAGTTAACAGAGAGAGAGAGAGTGTAGAGGAGAAATGGGCGACTGACAGGAGCAAGTGCTGCGTTAGGTGGTTAAGTGACTCCAGCAGCAGCAATCCAGCAGATTTCAGTGAAACATGGACTTCACAAAATGGACAAAAGAACAAAAACTATAAATCCTATTGAATAAACCTCTTCACTGTGAGTGGCAGGAGGCTTCAACAAACAGATTGATCACCTCTATGTGAAGCTATTCCATAAAATAAACAAATTGTGATTTACAAATAGCCCTCACTTTTGCTTCAAGGAGATTTTTTAAAATCTTTTTTACAATGGGAGTCTATGGGAGAGTGAGGCGGCACTCTGTGGAATTTGCCATTTCATTCAAAAACCGTTCATCCTATCACAGACTGAGAAATGTCCAAAATCACCATAAAATGTAAACTGCAATAATTCAAAAAGCATAAGATATTACAAAGCTGAATACAAGATGAATAGCTGAACTTGTCCTGATTGTTTAAAGGCTGAATGGTTTTTCTAGCTGAAAGTATGCTGAAGTTATTAAGGCTGAAAGAGGAGGAAGATTTGATGATTCTCCCATTGACTTCCATTATAAAAAATGTTGATTTTAAAAAGTATAAAAGTTACAAAACAGCTGAATGCACACCATAAGTATAAAAGTTACAAAACAGCTGAATACACACCATCATGTTCCTAAAAAGCTGAACATTTTGATATTTAAATGGTCTAGCTGAAAGTATGTTGGAGTTATTCAGCTGTGAAAAAAGTATGGAGGAAATGAGAATAATAAGGAACAGGCTTACAATAGTGTGGATGCTGACTCAGCATCCACACTATTGTAAACGTGCGACCATGTAGAGACAGAAATGACATGGCATGGTGTAAATAACATTACACAAGGCTATATAGTTAGTTTAATAAATGAACAAGGTATATAGACCTGTTCTATAGGAAAGGTAACCTTAAATGACTTCTGTTGTGATCTGGCGCTATATAGAAAATAAAATTAACTTGACCTTCAAGGGGGGGCGGGGCACCCCCTAATATAATGGTAGAGGAAACAGTGTACTCATAGAAGATGTCTGACCGATACAGATTATGGCAGCATTACATTAACTTCCCGCTGGCTGAGTCGGTCGCTGGGCAGCAGAAAAGAAATTTCAGCAGTTTGAGGATATTTTAAAATAAGTGACGACAACTAAAGTAAAGCCGGCTACAAACTCAGCTTCTCTGTTGAGAGCTCTCTGAAGCCACTGCACTTTTATGGTAATTGTTTTTTTTATAGCAGAAACATTACATCATTAAGTACTCATTACTAGTGAATACTCAAATGTAAGTACTCATACTTGGTCTGAAAAGTAGTGGTATCGGTGCATCCTTACTTGCGAGCAGTAGAAGTAGCTTTGGCTGCCTTAATGCAGTCACATGACCCAGCCCCTTGCACACTGTAGCGCTGCTGCAAGAGTCTCCTAGACCAGCTCTTTTCCTGGGATTTCTGTGTTAAGCCAGGCTAATAGTCTGCTAGCTGTAGCTTTATATTTGATGGACAGACAAAATAGGATCAAACATTTTACCTAACCCTCAGCAAGAAAGTGAAAATATTTCCAAAAATGTCTAAAAATTCACTCAATATAAAGGTCAATATCAGTCAACTGTCTGCATTCAACAGTGAAATCTCAAACAGATCTTAGCACAAAATCCAGTCACTTAGTGTAAAGTAGTGGTTGAAATAGTCAGAGAAATTACATTATATTCCATCAGTCACATACAAGTACCTGAACTATTAAAATACTGCCTTCACAAGACAAATCCCATTCCTCATCACAAGAACTGGAATCACAGGAGCACTTTTTAACATTGTTTCAAGCATAACATCACTCAAGTGTTTAATGGAGATCATTCTAACTAGAACCATTGGTCCCAATTTGATATGTCCTTCAGAATTTCCTCTATAATCTCCATGTACATAAATATGGTCAGTTACCTTCTATTCTGGTGACAGAATGCCCTTATGCACTGCAGAGGATGAGCCCTTAAAAAAAAAAAACAGCCATCTGAAATTAAAAAAAAAAAACAGCCACCTGAAATTAAAAAAAACTTATGACCACAGTTTTGGCCACAGATAGATGAGTGGCCTTGATGGATCAAATGTTGCTAGTTCTCGCACCCAGGGCCAGATCTCCCAGTGTAGAAAAGAAATCCTCCATCTCCTTCTCCAGAAGCCGGTTGCGATTCTCTGCATCTTCGCGTGCCCTCTCAGAGTTTCGTAGTTTGATCTCCAGCATGCGTTGCTTCTTCCTTTCCTGCTCCATCTCTTGTTCTAAATGTTCCATGTGGGCACACAAAGCAACACTGGACTCCTCCAATCTGAAAGAATGCAGCACACCACAGACAGGAAGCTAAGGTAACTGACTTTGCAAAATATTCTGGTCATTTTAGGATACAATTTAAAGCTACACCAATTTCAAATGTCTGTTCAGTTTTCACTGAACGATTTTCTACCCTAAAACAAAGTGTAGTGGCAGCTGTTCATGTTAAGGTTTGTACACTGAGAGCAAAGGGTGGATTTCCAAAAACCCCAGCCAACAAAAGTATCTGCAATACTAAATACTGTACTGCTTAAGGTAAATGAGAATATTTGGGGTTTTTTTGCAATTTATATACAGCACATTTGAACTGTATAACAAAGTTGTATTATTGCAGGAAATGAATCAAAACATTAACAAAAAACTAAACAGCAAATATGTTAGCAGTATAGTATGGCCCCATTGTGACGAGTTGACACTGTGTTTTGGTTATCCATGCTGCTAACGTAGCACCAATTCTACCACCAGTGTGTCAAGCAGTTTAACATCCAGTACCAAAGGAAATGCATGGCATGTCTTTATGGAGTGTTAACTGTGGCCCAAATTCAACAGTGAATAGCAGTGAATGCTCATGCTAACAAGATAAACAAAAGTCTTCTTCCCCAATACGTGACTGGTCAATGCAGTGCCTTTGCCAGAAGATGTCACCCTGTGGTATGGTGAGGGTGAAAAAGGGCATAGAACGCTACACAGCTTCAGTTAGACGTTAGCAGCTCATGCACAGATATAAGGTCTGAAGAGCCTCATGTGAAATCATACAGGAGAGAAGCCAGTTAGTTGAGTTTGTGGCAAAGCCTTTTACAGTGCTTGTATATAGTCTTTTACTGGATATGATAATTCATACTCAAAGTAGAACTGAAGTGACATTCACTGCCATTCATTGCGAGATGAGTTAAAACATATAAAAATGCACCTGCAGTGTTTTGCATTTTGTGACCTTCAGTTGAGTGAAAGACAGTTTTTCCAGTCACACATTTTGTCATTGAAAATTTCTTAAAAATTATATTAAAATATTGCCTCATCTTGTTCTTGTGAACCCAATATTGTTCATTGTCTCATGAGTTAAGTGCATCATCACACCCTACTATGTATAGAACCCATTCGGCCCTTGCCATCAGTGCCAGATTGTATTTTGCCCTGAGCAGTACTCTGTCAGCCTCCAAACCTATTTTCAACTCAGACCTCAGAAATGCAATACTTAAGGCCTGGAGTACCCCATTATAGGACTGTCATAGTAACTTAAATTCACTTCATTGTTTTTTCATGTCCTATTGCCTGTTTGTGTCAGTGTATTCCTGGTACGAAATTTTATAATTAATGCTCAGCAAGACATGCAACATTAATCACGTGACAATAAAGCTAGCTGGTTGCTAGCAGACTTACTTTTGGATCCTGGCTTCATAGGTAGTCTTCTGTTTCCTCAACTCATCCCTCAGCCCTTCCACCAGACTGCTCAGAGTTCCATTAACTCCATCCTCAGAGATGATACTGGATGTGACACCGGCTGCTGTGGCCATGTTTCCATTCTCACTGCAGGCTGCGCTGCTGCTGCACAACTCCATGGCTTCACAACTTTCCTGCTCAGAGCCTGGGTCTGTTGTTATTCCCCCATCACTTAGTCTCTCTCTCTCCTTCTGACTCTCCATAAACTGCCCCCTTTCTACAGCTGCTACCCCACCTCCTAAGTTCTGGTTTGCTGGAGGCTCACTTCCAGAGCCAGAGATCTCACAGGAGGAGGTGGACCAAGGTGTGTTGCATACACTTGGCACGCTCCCCACGCTGGAGGAGGAGGTGACGTTGTCGTAGGTGGACAGTCTCTGTGAGGAGCCCGTGGAGTCACGGTCACGAACAGACCGTTCACCCGATGATGTCCGCCGGTGTCCCCTCAAGGAGGACAAACCATTCATGAGCCAATTACTTCCACCACCACTTCCTCCTCCACCGGAAGATACACTAGTAGTATCAGCCACGGAGCTGCCGCTGTTGCTTTGCTTAGCTTGTGGCTGGGATCGAGGCGCTGAGGAGCTTTTAAATGAGTACTTCCAGGATGGCATGGTCTTGGCTTGTTTACTTGGGCTGACCACAGTCTCTCCCTTCCCTGACGAAGACCCCAATTTTGGTCCGGGGTTTGGGTTAGGGGTCTGGGTGGATGTGATGGCTGCGCACAGTTTGGCATCCAGAGAGGAGGCACTGCTGTTCAGCTCTTGGTCAGCGTTGGAGATTGGGCAGGTCTGGAGGTCCTCCTCAGATATCCAGGCTCCCAAGCTGCGATGTTGGAGCTGATGCCCCTGCACAAAGAGCCCTGTCTGGAGTACAGTGGGTTCCTCTTCGTCCCTCCCTGAGTACAACCGATCGTGTTCCCTAATGAGGATTGTCATCAGGTGCTGGACTAGTGAGGTGCCTGACAATAAAGACCAGATTCAAATAGGATAGTATTTTTGCAATGTTTTTATCTTGCTTAGTGCGATTAATTTGTCAGTACTAAAACAGGTAAAGCTTTTTCTACCATGACTAGTCTACCATGACTTTTTATGAATAAATCAGTGAACAACATTGATACCTTCCATGATAGTGACTGGGTCCTCCATTTTGGGTCGTAGGATATTTGGTCCAAATACAGTTGCAAGGTTCTGGACGCTCATCTTGTTCTCATTACAGTGAGACTGGACCTCGTCAAGGAATCTGAGAGATAACAGTTAAAGAGAGAGAGAGAAACACTAATCTTTTTTGAGAACTTATCACCTTTGTTCTTGAACTCTCTCTACATCTGTGAATATGTCAATGCACATGTTTTACATTATACAGTTAAGAGAATGAGATTAAACATCATAAGAGCTTACTTGCATATGTACTTGAGGAGATTGTAGTTAGGAAGAGGTAAAGTGCTAACTTGCTTTCCAAGCTCCTGGACTCCCTGAAAGTCAGACGGTACCACTGTTCAGACACCGTACTCAGTAACATATTCACACACAACCATAGAATTCAGTACCTCCTCCTCATCTTTGGACAAAAGCTGTGCACAGGTTAGAAAGTCTTCATATTTGGAGAAGGGAATAACTGGTTCAGGTAGCTCCCTTAGGTACAGCTTCAGCAAAGATGCCACTGTGTGAACGTCAGTGTTGCTGTAGGGGAGTACAGAAGAAAAGTTGTCGATTTACTGTAGTGTTTCACCATTTAACTATCAAAAAGCTGGCGTGCTCCCTCCTATCTACCTGTCAAACAGAGGTTTGTCCCCGCAGTCGAAGGCCTCCTGCAGCTCTTTGACCAAGTTAGCCTGACCTGGCATCCGAAAGAGGCCCTCCTCATCGAGACCCCTCTCCCTGATGAAGTCCACACACTGCTCCACCAGCAGGGGGGCCAACCGGGGGCCGAACTTCTTCTCATACTGCACTGTGTCCTCCAGATGCTGACCAAATATCCCTGCACAGGACACAGGAAGGACACGACTAACTTTTTTTAATCACTTCAGCTTTTGATTATTTTGCCTCTGGTCTATAAAATGTCACAAAATAGTAAATAAATGTATACTCTTATTTACCTCCAAAATCCCCAAATTATTCAATCAGCAGTGACATAAAACAGAATCCTCACAATGGAAAAACAAGGACCAGACAATATTTGGCCTTTAGCTTGTAAAAATGACTTAAACTAATAAAACATATTCAAAAAACCCACTGGGTGAAGGAACTGGAAGTGCAAAAATGCTGACTCTGTTCTGAAGTTAGGACTCACTACTACAGCACTCTATTAAAGCCTCTCAACTAAGGTGTGGATAGAACTTTCTCAGTCAAAGTTGAAGAGTTGTTTATAAGAATTTTGATGAGGAAAACAGAATATATCTACAGAACTGCTGCAGCTTTTTCAGGCACTTTTTTTTTAGAGACACTGACAAGTCATATCATCAATTGCTCTTAGGCCTAAATTTATTTATTTTTTTTATTGGTAGTAATTCCCGTTCAGTCAAATGTGTTCAGTTCTCGTGTTTCAGGTCAAAGGGCTGGTTTTACCTCCTCCGAATGGTGCCCAGATGACCCGCCGTATGGCCTTGACCCAGTCATCCATGTCTGTCTGGGAGTTTGCCATGAGCAGGAAGGACTCATGGCTGATCGGCGCTCGGTCCTTCTCTCCTGTTCCACCTGGAAACAATGGAGTGGGAAGAAGAAGAAGACAAAAATAGTATGGGTAAGTACACAAGAGGCTGCAATTATTTTTTTCTTCCACTTCATAAGCATTTAACATAGAATTATACCATGCTATGCTGATTAGTACACATACAGTGGTGTGAAAAAGTGTTTGCCCCCTTACTGATTTCTTATCTTTTTGCATGTTTGTCACACTGTAATGTTTCAGATCATCAAACAAATTTATATATTAGTCAAAGATAACACAAGTAAACACATCATGCAGTTTTTAAATGAAGGTTTTTATTATTAAGGGAAAACAAAACCCAAAACTATATAGCCCTGTGTGAACAAGTGTTTGCCCCCTAAACCTAATAACTGGTTGGGCCACCCTTAGCAGCAACAACTGCAATCAAGCGTTTTCGATAACTTGCCATGAGTCTTCCACAGCGCTGTGGAGGAATTTTGGCCCACTCATCTTGGCAGAATTGTTGTAAGTCAGCCACATTGGAAGGTTTTCGGGCATGAACTGCCTTTTTAAGGTCATGCCACAGCATCTCAATTGGATTCAGGTCAGGACTTTGACTAGGCCACTCCAAAGTCTTCATGTTGTTTTTCTTCAGCCATTCAGAAGTGGACTTGCTGGTGTGCTTTGGATCATTGTCCTGCTGCAGAACCCAAGTTCGCTTCAGCTTGAGGTCACAAACAGATGGCCGGACATTCTCCTTCAGGATATTTTGGTACACAGCAGAATTCATGGTTCCACTTATCACAGCATGTCTTCCAGGCCCTGAAGCAGCAAAACAGCCCCAGACCATCACACTACCACCACCATATTTTACTGTTGGTATGATGTTCTTTTTCTGAAATGCGCTGTTACTTTTACGCCACACATAATGGGACACACACCTTCCAAAAAGTTCAACTTTTGTCTCGTCTGTCCACAGAGTATTATCCCAAAAGTCTTGGGGATCATCAAGATGTTTTCTGGCAAAACTGAGACGAGCCTTTATGTTCTTTTTGCTCAGCAGTGGTTTTCGTCTTGGAACTCTGCCATGCAAACCATTTTTGCCCAGTCTCTTTCTTATGGTGGAGTCATGAACACTCACCTTAACTGAGGCAAGTGAGGCCTGCAGTTCTTTGGATGTTGTTGTGGGGTCTTTTGTGACCTCTTGGATGAGTTGTCGCTGCGCTCTTGGGGTAATTTTGGTCGGCCGGCCACTCCTGGGAAGGTTCTCCACTGTTCCATGTTTTCGCCATTTGTGGATAATGGCTCTCACTGTGGTTCGCTGCAGTCCCAAAGCTTTAGAAATGGCTTTATAACCTTTTCCAAACTGATAGAGCTCAATTATTCTCTTTCTTGACAGGGGGGCCAACACTTGTTCACACAGGGCTATATAGTTTTGGATTTTGTTTTCCCTTAATAATAAAAACCTTCATTTAAAAACTGCATGATGTGTTTACTTGTGTTATCTTTGACTAATATATAAATTTGTTTGACGATCTGAAACATTACAGTGTGACAAACATGCAAAAAAATAAGAAATCAGTAAGGGGGCAAACACTTTTTCACACCACTGTATATTAAGGACCTTATTGGAAAGGTGGTATATTTGAAGAACCCTTTTGCAGGTTTGTCACTGTGGCAACTAGTTTGTGTCAGCTTTCTGTATGAGCCTGCACAGATTTTGCTTAATTGTAGTCAACTTAATAGTGGGCAATGAGTTTATGTGAATATAGGCAGTAGGAATTGCCTGAGCAATAGTCACTTTAAAGATAAAACTAGAGCAGCAGACCCTCTAATTCACAAACTGATACACAAATTATCCAACAATGTTCTCAAAATGATGTAAAAATTACTTATTAAAGAGAACTTATTTAAAAAAAAAAAATCAAATGCTCACCCACTTGGTTTTGTCTGGGGTTGCCACAAGGTATAAAACAACATGCTATAAGGATTTCTCACCACTAGATGGCCCAGATGCTGCACTTTATATGCTCTGTGTGCTCTACAACCTTCTTGTTCTGTAATTACAGTATGGCTCCAGTGAGCAATTCACATTTTAATTTAGGCCATTTAACTGATACTGTACCCCAGAGCATCCTTTAGTGAGTTTAGGGGTTGAATAAGCCTATTTTACTACTTCTTTTGACCTTTATGCATTGGCAAGCAACAGCAGGAAAACAGTTCAAGACAATAATTATTCTGCATACTGTAATATGTGATGTTTTGCTCTTCTTTTATAACTGCTGAATAATGTGGAAAACCAATCTTGCTATCTTGACTCCACCACCTTTTTGAATATTCTCTTTCTTCTGCTACACATTTAAATGATCTGGGAAGAATGTGATGCATTTCTAGTTTGGCTGAGCCATTACTGTTGGGTGGTTGTTGCCACAGTCACAGAGAGCCATTTACTATGTGTCATTTACTGTGAGAAGGGAATCCAAATATAAACAGTGGTGCCATAAAACTAAGTGCCATTGTCACCTAGCGTTGTGAAGTCGCACTGTCATCACAAGTGCCTGAGTGTCTTACAGTACCATAAAGGGTTTACCATTATTCGACATCTTGCCCTTGTTTATACATAGTATGAATATGCAGGCTGAAAAAGAATCTAAATGAGTTCAGTTTGCCCTCAAGAAAGGAGGCAAATTAAAAGGGTGACTCAGACATTAAGGAGCCTGGACACATCCAGTACAACTTCTTCAGTAAATTATGACTTGACACACACAAACACAGCCACTTAAAATAAATCTCAACATAGCCAACAGACACCAAAACAATTGGAACATCTGAACCTGGATGAAGGAGGAAGACAAAGATCCATTTTGGAGCCAATTAAGATAACACTGACTACATGGTTTACAAAGACAAACTCTCAGCCTCAGATGGAGGCTGACATATCAGTCTGTCTGTTTATGGAAGATATACACTATTCTTGATAATTTTATAGTGATTCTTAAATGTTAACTCACAGATGCTATTGAATGGGAAATTAGGGCTGGAAAGCAAAGAAAAAGGAACACAGGTGTGTTTTATAGTGCAGAAGTGGATGATAAGCTGATTTAAACATTTGGATTAGTGTCAGTCAACACTGTCAGCCTTGCTAGATAGCATTCACAAACCATGAGGTGTTGCTATTGCTATCCAGTGCTGGATAAATAAACAAATCACTCAAGTCATTTCATTACTGATATTGCAACAACTAAGGTAATGAGTTTAAATACATTACTTTCGCTAGTAGTCAAGCTATGATTAAAGGTATTTACTGGCCATCAAAGTTAGCCCCATCAGCTGCACACAGAGGTCTTAAAATCCTATTCGCATGCCACAAGGTTCCTAACCCTCCAGCTCTGAGCAAAACCGGATGATTCCTGAAGGTATGCTTACCAATGGCTAATGTTAGCATTTCAGCTAAAAGCACACAACGTGTAGAGTTCATTAACAACATTTACCAGGAGGACCAGGAGGCTAATTTCTTAATACCTTGAATCCCTTGGGATAAGATAACGCATCCTGGACCAGATTATCAAACCTCCCTAAAAAGAGACAACCTTCCAAAATTATAACTAACAGAGTCAAATGGGAGTAAGCGATTACTAAATTTCACACTGTGATTTTTTAGACTCTTACAGGTTCCAGGTTAGAGCCCCAGCCAACCGGGTGCCTTTCTGTGCGGAGTTTGCATGTTCTCCCTGTGCCTGCGTGGGTTTTCTCCGGGTGCTCCGGCTTCCTCCCACTGTCCAAAGACATGCAGGTTAGGTTGATTGGCAACTCTAAATTAGGAAGGGCATCCGGCGTAAAACATGCCAAGTTTAATGTGCGAATCATCAGTTGGGTGGTAGCTGATGATTTGCTGTGGTGACCCCTGGCAGCATCAGCCACAAGTAGAAGAAGATGATTTTTTAGACTCTTATACTGTTGATTACCTGTGGCAATTGCTGTTGAACAATGACAAAATTATTTTCATCTTTCTTGAGAAAAAAAAAAAAAGGTGATTTAACAGAGAATAGATGAAAACCACTATATAATTTTTCAACTTTTCAAAAAGTAGCTGTGGAACACAGTCAAAAGTGGAACTGGACTCTGGAAAACATACTTTCCTTCCAAGAGCTGGATAACAAGATTGATACCACTCTCATGACTGTGCAGTAGACGCTATAGCCAGGAGACTGGCCGTTAGCTTAGATTAGCATAATCACTAGAGGCTGGGGTAACAGCTAGCCTAGCTTGAGCTGCCAATGTAAAGTGAGCTTTACAGGTGTCAACAGACCGTTACTTTGGAACAGAGCCTAACCAGCTGTTTCCCCCGTCATACATACCTTATACTAAGATAAGCAAATTTTCTCCTAGCTGTCACTGCATGCTTAGCGCACACACAGGAGTAGGAACAATCTTTGCTTTCAACTCAAGAAAGCAAATAAGTACATTTAATGACATTAGTGTTTAGTGTTGAACTACTGCTTATAGGTAGATTCAGAGGTATGACCTCGAGCTCTACTAGCCTTGCAAACAGTCATACGGTTTACACTGCACACTGTTTAGTGTGTTGATGTGCTTTGTCCCTCAGGCTACATCCTCTATTAATAATGAGACTGATGATCGGGATCTATAAATTGGCTAGGGATTCACTTTATATGACCTTTGTGCTGAGCAGTATGAAAGGCAGTGAAGCAGACAGACCAAGTTAGTAAGCAAGTGAATGAGTAAGAGAGACAGAGCAATAGAAAGAGAGAGAGAGTGGCAGAAAATAGTGCATTGGTAGTTCAGACTGTTAAGGGCAGCCAATAGCTTAGAGCACAAGATTTACTACTGGATACTTACAGGATTAAGCCCCTACAGTATGCAGTCATTTATAGCTCTTCTCTTGTGTGTCTGAGAGAATTTAAATGGTGATGCTAATACACTCAATGTTTCCACTCATCATGCTGAACCTTCCACTCATGACTGCCAAATACACATCATCTTATCTGTTTTAACACATATCCAGATGAGATTTGTTTTTCAGGATGACAACAGTAATACAATTATTAATGGAAAAGACAATCCTCTTATTGTCTTTTCCATTAATAATGGGGAAGGAAAGAGAGTCAAACCTTTAAAAATACTGATGATACACATACAATGTTGGCCAGACCGGAGATGTTCCATGGATATCTCCAGAGAGTGCAGGAGTACTAAACTATAGCCAAAGACCTTCTAGCCACATGTCACCTTGAACCTCGTGTTTTTAATCCAATGTGTGTTGCTGTGGACAAAGCAAGCTTTCCACCACGAGTGTGACACACAGTACAGAAGACCATAGTCATCCTGTAACAATAGTTGTCTAATAGGTCAATCATGCAAATAACCAAAAAAGTAACTATGAGCTGGTCAAAAAGATGATCTAAGTAACAAGTTATTAGTTTACATATTTTCATAAGTATAAATAAATAATTAATGATGTAATGAAGTTGTTAGACGGGAATCGGGCAACCAAAAACCCAACTTTTTGTACTCATTCAAACATTTTGCAGAAGTAGGTAGGTTACTGGAGAAGCCCTTTTTGTGGCAAAATTTTTTAAAGATTTTGTTTAAGTATGTCTCTTGAAAATAAGCATTAGCTTAGAGGGCAGAAACAGGAGCCAGTATCTCAACATTATGCCAAATGAGGTTGCTGGAAAGATACTGTAAATCTACGCCTCCATCACTCTCAGAACTTCTCTTCAGCCTCTACTACACTTGTAAAAAAAATCTCCTACATCTGTTTCCCGTTACCTTGGAGATGTTGTTTCTTCAGTCTGTCTGGCTTGCAGCAGACTGGCCCCATGTCTAAGTGAGCACAAGCTGGACCTGGGTCTGGCTGTGGTCTAAAACTGCAGCATGAAGAAGTGCCTTCTCTGGCACCACAAAATCCGTTTGGAAACAGATCAGTACACAGGTAGCACTGATGGCCAGAACCTGCCAACGAGGCATGCTCAACTCCAACGAAAACAAACTCCGACAAAGAAGTCCCACTTCTTACTCCTCACTTGTTTATTCTGTTGATTCATTCACTCTTTTTTCCTGATTCCAATGCATGTCCGCTCCCTCAGCCTCCCTGAGGAGAAGCAAATCCCTGAGAAAGGGGTGCAACAAGGCTCCCTCTCTCTGTCCATCTCTCTTTGTGTGCAGTAACTGGGAGATGGGCTGTCCTCCAATCATTGCCAAACAAATTTGCACACACACATACACAAGCAAACAGGGAAAACAATGCTAATCACTACAGGCAGTAAGTACACTTTGGATTCTTCCTCAAGTCAAACTTAAAGGCTCATATGGACCTGCATGAATGTAATAATCAGTTACTTTATATAATAAAAAGTCTTTTAAAATCTATTTTGCTACTTTCTCTTACCAGCTGCAATGACTATGAAAGTTGTACACTCTGTAACTAGTTCATAAATCCTAGATAAAGTCAGTATATGAATTATCCACAAACATTTATGTTATGCATTAATGGCTCTATGTTGAAATTATGTTAGTGGTAAACCTAAAAAAAAAGGCAGGCATTGCCACCATAGCTGAACATCCAAAGAAATATGTGCCGCCTATAAAACCTTTATCACCCTGGCTCCTCTGACTGTGCAGTAATGCCCCAGAACTGATCACTTAGCAACAAAGATGGAGACTAGACTAAACACAAAACCACAATCTCACATACTCTGACTTTTAGAATACACTTTGATTTATATTAAACACCCCTCATTTAGTAAACTGCATTATTTGTTATACTGTGAATTCCAAGAATGTTACTGAGGCTCAGAGGTACATGTGTGACTGGGGCTCCACTAACATCCTCAGTGTATACACTATACTGTACAGTTAGTGTATATCATGGTATTCTTACATTCTTGGTTATTATCCCACTAACCCACACTTAGAGAGTACAAAATGGCAGTGGGTCAGGCTACTTCATAAAACTTCAAATAGTTCCAAACTGCTGATTCAGATCCATTGTTTTCTGTAGGGAACAGTGGAATTTATCAGCAAATTACTACTTTTAATGACTTGTACAGCCTTGTAAACCATTTCTGTGTTCTGTTGGTATAGAGAGCTCAGCTAATTTAACTAGTTAGCCAGGCACATAATCTATTAAAGTCACACAATATTTGAGGGAGACAGTTGAAAGGTTGTAAAACATGCTTTGACATATTGCTAACTTAAAATGTCACAGTACAATTATTGCTATTGATTTCAACTTCTTTAGAAGATAGCAGCCAAATCAGTGCAACTCTATGGCGCTGCTCCTAATGTTTGGAACTATTCAGCGTTCCCATGATGTGCCATTACTGTAAAAGAACAGTCCTTAAAGGGTCAATGGAGATGTGTGGATATGTGTGGGCATATATTTATATACAGTATGTGTATATTTACATTATTATATTGCCTACTTTTATGGTTTGACATTTTTATATATCTTTTTAAACTTCAAGCACATTGAGTTTCTTTGTAATGAAATGCGCTCTATAAATATGGGTGGTTACTGTTAGTGTCTGTGTGTTCATTATAAAAAATCTGAAGTCACTTCGGCTGTGTTCAGACTGAGTTTCAAAGGTGTGAAGAAAACACAGCCCTCTCCATTCAGTTCTATGGGGGATTGCGTTCGCCGCAGCCGACACCAGCAATGCAGGGGGATCCGGCAAAACGACGCAACCCCATGTGGTGAAAAAGATGAATTTGGTTCAACCTTTGCTGCACTGGACAGTGACATCATCCAGTAGAGGTGCTGCACTGACCAATCACATAAAGGGGTCGTTCAGAACGTTGACACCCACAGGAAGAAAACTTTTGTTTACCTTTTTACCATGAGCATTCACTGATATTGAATCTCAAATTTGGGCCACAGTTAACGCACCATAATGACACACCGTGCATTTTCATTAGTTAGGGCACTGGATGTTAAATGTTTTTTATCTATCAATCATTGACTGGTGGTAGAATTGGTGCTAAGGTAGAGTAAGCTACGTTATTAGCAGGACTAACCAAAACACAATGGAAGCTGGAAACATGAATGAAGCTACTCATGTTGACTCATCACAACATCATACACGCCTACAACACTCCACCTGCAACCCCTCACCCCCCTGACCAACAAAGCTCCTTGCATTAAAACACAGCAGAGAGTTGAGCTTTTGCTGGATCAGTGTGAATTTATGGTCTCATATGAGCCGTAAGGAAAAATAAGAAAGTAGTACAAGTTTGTTTTGCAAAATGACTAATTTCAATTTATCTTAGCCATAAAAAACGTGTTTAATTTCTTACCTTTTCACTATTCTGTAAAATCAGCTGCTGCTGACATGACCAGATAACAATGACTGAGGGAGAAAGCACTATCCTCCTTGAAGCATGTCTTTAATAGAATGTAATGTCTAAAACATCCAAGTCTTTTTATTTCATACAACAGAAGTGAATAAAGCCTTCACCATTCTAAGCTGATTATAGACTAGAGAGCAGAGGAACTTGTGTTTCTCCCCAAGGAGTCAACAATTTTAAGCAAGTCGTTCTGTTCGAGGACTGAAAAGGGGACGGTAACTCAGGTTATAGTGAAGTACAACCAGGCTTCTATGGAACCTGACTAAGAAACGTCTATAGTGTGAAGAGCAGCTCTTCCATTTGATGTAACATTTAAACCGTATAGTCTTCATCAGCTTTTTCTAACCCTCCCAGGATCTATGTTTGTCTGAAACTGATCTCTCCTCATGTGAGGCATTTCTGCTGGCCTTCTGCCTCCCTCTTCCTTCCCACCTGTCTCCTTGCATCTTTTTCTGGCCTGTCTGCAAGTGAGAGGTCCACTGGGGTTCACACTACTCTGCTATGTTGACTAGCCCTAAACAAAACACAGAGGCTCACAAAGCCTGGCAGCCATTATAAACACAAGCACAGACCTCTAAGCAAACACTTTGAATGACCGAGTAATATGAAGAGCCAGAAGGATGTGCCATGCAACCACTAGAGTCAGCTGCTATCTTGCAAATTTGGCTGTAGGACTTAAACAATTTAGAAAGCGGTGTCAAGGTTAATGCTGATTTTATGCATTTAACTTCCACATTTTTTTTGTAAATGTGCCTTAATAAACCCTCGAATTTTATGTCAAAAGACTATAAAAAAACAGAACACTTTTTGAATCTGTAAAACAGAACTTCTACTGTATATGTATGTGCTTACAATACTTTTTTTTTTTTACAGTACACATATTGTATTGACAAATGTACAATTCAAGACAAACCTTATTAAGTAACCTTCAAAGGCTACATGATGTCAATCTAACCAGGCTGTTCAACCACAGGCAAAGCTTCTGCATGTCAGCTGGGATGACAACATACTAACAGTCCTGAGATCTAATGGCACAGTCAACACTGTAGACAGGCCATTTTGTTATCCATTTCCTTTATGTTAGTTCTCGCTGGAGCTAACTTTCACACGCCACAAGCTAGAAGCAGCAATACTGACAGCTGACACATAGGTTATTCAGCTATGAAGGTGTGAAATAAAAGAGACTGACCACTACAGCAATGAATCCCTGGCTAACATTGCTCTCTACTGTTTGAATACAGGATAGCAACCACATGGCACAGGATATACATAAAATACATCTCTTGCAAGTTTTTTCCCATTTCTGCTTCAGTTTATATCTTGGCTTTTTATGTGTTATTGGACAGACCCTTCCCATAGATGCACTTCCCCTGTTTTCCGTCATAACGTATAAACCCCTTTGATGTATACCAGTTTGGAAATATGATTCACATGATATGATTTCTTTTATACTCATGCTATGTAAATGTTCTATGAAGTGCTGCATGGTGATGTAAGATCAGATGTGGATGCACAGTGATCTAAACTCGCAAAATCAATTTTTACAGGTAGATTAACACTGAATACTCAAATGTAAACTGTAGCAACAGCAGAAATTGCTGGGTGTTTTGGAAGAGCTGTGAAATAAGCCAGGGAGGTGAAGACAGGAGAAGAGGATGAACAGTAGTGGCTCTCACCTGGTACAATTTCAAAGAGGTGTCTTCCTGGTTCGTCTGGGTTAGCTGCAAGCTCGTTGACCTGGCATCCCTGCAGAGTTATACAGCCCTGAAAGACAGGGTGAAGCTTTAAAATACTGTGCTCTGGGACAAATGCAATTATGTCTCTACTCTGCTCTCAGTTAACAGTTGTGACAAATGAAAGCTAAAGCTGGCAACTTTTGATTAACAGATAAAATTAAAAGGCTGAAAATTTTAAACAGAAGAATTAATGTTTTTCAGTTGGAATAAATTGTGTTTGTGCTGATTTAATTTACACCCACCTGATGTTGTTTCCCCCCCCAACTTATATGTCAGGAGATATCTACGCTGCTTTGTATTCCACAAATGCAGGCCTGTGGTTTAACTAACAGAAAATTCAAACACTGTTATGACACTGGTAAGAAAAATTTGATATTCAGGTTCAAATCTCGGTGCCTGGAGTCCACATGTCGAAGTGTCCTTGGGCAAGACACTGTGTTTCCCTCCTTTCGGCCTTCATTCTTTTCCTTCTTATATTCCTCCACTCATCTTTGCTTTCTACCTCTTCCCAATTCCTTCCTTCCTATTGCTCCACTCTTAATCCCTCTAAAATTTTAAGCAGCTACTGCTGTGATTGAACAGGGACCCACACAGATTATCAGAATACATTATCCAGATCAATACCCATTTAGGTCTGAGAACTGAGGCAAAGTGAGCTGTGAAGAGATGCCAGCGTCTGCAGGTTGGCCTCTGCGTACTGGCATCGTCCATCAAACAGGGAGAGGAGTCTGCCAAGCAGCCTCGACCAGCGGGCCAAGCCTTCACCAGCATTAGTTGCCATAGCAACAAATGGAAGGGGTGGGAAGCTGTGGATGGATGGAACACAGGGGCAGGGCAGGAACCATGTGGGGGGAAGGTCCCAAGGGTGCTATGTGCTCATTATAACACAAGTAGCAGGCCGGGGATGAATGAAGAAGAAAAGGCAACATGTAACCTGAAAACACAAATCACACATTCAAACGGTGTAGGGTGAAAATGTGGGATAAGTAGTGCAGTTTGTCCTTTTCTAGGTCTTAGCTTGGAAACAGAGTGACTTTTGTTTGACATTTTGTTATGAAACTGGGCTTGCGTGCATGAGCCTTCCACTAGTCATGAACAGATGTAGACACACCCAGTTTAACCTGGTTTGCTCATAAAAACAAACCATCATCCTGGACCAGAACACCAGTCCAGGCCTCTGAAGATTCACACACTTCACACCTTTTTATAACTTGCCTGTTTAAATTATATTACGACTAAAGGTTACGCACTAATTAAGGGTGTGGCTTCTTTGAGTAAGAGGAGGGAGGGTCCTGCCTTAGGTAGCAGGTTGCTAGAGAGCTCCACTCACACTCCACCTCTTTGCCCATTTCTGGATTAGACCTAGCAGGCAGAGTTAAGCACTACCAATATGGTGACATCCAGACTTGAGTTTCAGAAACAGTAAAGCAGCAATTTGTGCTTCCACAAAATTTCAAATTTCAATTTCAGTTTGTTCGGAATTAAGCATGAACAGGCCGCTTACATTGCTAAGAAAACAAAGAAAAAAGCAAGCCACCAAATTAAGCTGATATACAAGTCAAGAAAAAGACTGTCCACTCTCCACACTGCCCTTGACTGACAGGTGGTTACACACCACTTAAACTGCAGGCATAACACGCATCTACCTATAACTGTACAACTTACTGTGCATGGTTTTCTTAGATCATTATTAGAAGCAGATCATTATGTATTTGGAGCACTAATGAACCACCTGCCCCCATGTGTTTGTCTTGGAGCAACAGAAATCTCATGTCCAATAAGTGAGGTCCATTTGCACTCTAGCAGCTATATCTAGTGCCTTTTCTTCTACCAATTATCACATCCTTTGATGGGGGGGGGTCCTGTTGCAGTGATTTGCCTACCCCTTGTCCCTCCCCCTGCTTCCAGTCTCAAATTTCCTATCGATTAGAAGATGAGAGGGAGAAAGGGGGCCAGAATGACACAGCCTCACACATCCTGCTCTCAGAAGAGGAGGATGTGTGTGTGTGTGTATGTGCGTAACTGTGCATTACTCTGAGTGTACGTGTGTGCACTTGACCATTTGTGTGATTTGAATCCACAGGGAGTTGCAAATCAATTTAGGCTGGAGAAGTATTGGCAAGCTCTGATTAAAGACATTCTGTCAAAGTCTTCAGTCATTTATTCCACTCAGAATGGAGACTACATCGATGAGAACACGTCATTCTGAGGGTATCAAGTGTGTGTACGCTCTGACAGAGCCTAAAAGGCAGTGATGGTGGACAGCTGCTACCTACATTAAATGAACAGTAGTCACACAGAGTGAAGACTGAAGAAATCAATAAAAATGCTGAAATTTGAGCCAGGAAAGTAGGGACATCATTACTGTCCACTAAAGGCTGTGTGAGTGTGTGAGAGGTAAAGTCATGTCCCTGATGTCTGTCTTTGTTGTATAGTTACATCATTGCCTGTTGTCATGTCTATGTAAGCTAGTAATCTATACTGACTGCCCATCCCAATATCAGTTATGGCTGTCTATGTATGTACAGTCTGAGGACCAGTTTGAGTTTTATACCATGACAGTGAGGACATTTGGCTAGTTCTTACATTGTGATGGTTAAGACTTGGTTTTAGGATTAATGTTAGAATTAGCTTTAGATTCAAGTCAGGCTAAGGGTTAGGCATTTGATGTGATGGTTAAGGTTGGGGTAGGGGGCTGTCAAGAGTCTTCATAGCTGTTCAAATGTATGTGTGAGTGTGAAGTCAGTCCAGTCCAGCTACCTTGTTGCTTGAACATCTCAACAGAAATTATAATGGGAAAATGAGTCAGCACCTGGCCACAAAATATGAGATCGATTAGAGAGTGACTGTGTAAATATTATTATGATGTCCTAATGGAGGAGGAAACAAAGCATCAAATGCTGATATTTGTACTAATGAATTAAAATGTCCTGTGAGTGTGGTGAGTCATCATTACTGCTGTCTTTTCATCCCTTGTCAAAAATAAAAGCTAGCTGTAATGTTGGTAGAGCACACTTAACGAACATTACTGCTGTTATGTGTAGTCTGTTTACTCCATGCCACTTTCATCCAGGATCACTCTGCAATACATAGCATGTTAACCCACCCGCCATCATGGTTTGCTGTGATTCTTCTCCTACTGAACAACAAATGACTGTTTTAGTTGGAGGATATAGAATTTGGACTTCACCACTGACTGTATATAAACAGTGTCTTTCACGTTTAACACTTCAGTATTTGTTTATAATTATAGCTTAGATTTAGTTTATTAAAATTTGTTAGCCACATTTATTACTGTGACTTGACCTAGTTCCTCAGTTTGTCACATCATGCTCCCCATGGCTAGTAGCAAGTTAGCAAATTGAGCTCACATTACTGACTGTGGTAATTTAGAATTGATAACCTTAGCTGACTGTAGCTACTGTATCATGTCATGGGCCCCGCCATTGATGAGAACGACAGACTGAAAAATGACTCTGCACCCTGATCTCAACTCTCAGTTCACACTAGCTAGCAGCTAACACAAACACTGCAGATGAATCAGTTTCTGTCCTCTCTGTGCTCAAACTGATCACTAAAGTGGACGTTTGGACACAGCTGAAGCATCCTTTACTGTATCTAGCTGTATGGGTTAGTATTTATTTAGTTAAATTTACTTATAGATGTACGTAGTGTATATCACTATAATGGATAATGAGGAAAAAACACATTAGTTGTAGATGCTAACACATCCAGAAGGAAGAACAGCACACGTGAATCACATCTGAGCCCTTTAGGTGCTTTTAACTCTCTCCATCACAAAAAGTCATACCGATGTTAACCCTGGTTTTTTGCTCTTTCTTTGTCTCACACTCTGTGTATGAAAAAAAAGTGCCCTCTTCGGTTTGGCAATCACTGTTTTGGGCTTTTAGATGCTACAAAGCCGTCCCTGGTAGGCTAGTGGTTAAGGTGCAGCACTCTCGCCGCTGCGGCCCGGGTTCTAGCCAGGGTTGCGTCAGGAAGGGCATCCGGCGTAAAACATGTGCCAAATGTCAACATGCGAGTCGTCAGTGTGACGATTCGCTGTGGCGACCCCTAGTCGGGAAAAGCCGAAAGTGACTTTCTTAGATGCTAACAGGTTCTTCGTGGCTGGGTGTTTGACATGACTACTCGTGGTGTAAAAAATAAAAGCTTCTTATAACCTTTGCCAAGTGGCAGGCAGGGCCACGTCACAGACTTAACTTTAATGACAGTTTAGAAAAGCTGAAATAACAACAGAAGAGCTCTAGGTGGCAGTGTCCTGGAGGACAGTAGCATAGCAGAGATACTTCATGTTCTGTCCCATTTTCACTTGATTTATCAAACAGTATGTAAAATCTTAGATACTGCACCTTTACATATGTAATGATTTATCCAGCTTCTATCAATGTATTACCTGTGGTTTGGTTTCTTCCTCATCTTTGTAGAAGTAGAGCTGATCTGAGCGCAGAACGAACCATCGTAGCTGCCAGTTCTTCATGATGCTACGCTGCTTCTTCAGCCAGCCAGCTTTCAGTGCCCCCTCCTGGAGACTGGGGGAGGCTGGCCGACATGGGCCCCGCGACACCTCGCCCATCACCATGCTCTTGGACCTGGCTGCAAGCACATACATTCACTGTTTATATTCTGTGTATATACAGCCTGACAGAGAGTGAGGGGATGGGGAAGGCCAAAGGGGACTGAACTGGTGGTTCTACTATTTCTTTGGTTTGTGTCTTTTCATTTTCTCCCTGATAGTAGTTGGCTCTCCCTTATTCTATATGCTGTATGCGCACACACACACACGCTCTGCTCTTCAGTCATGAACATATACAACCTTTGGCCCTGGGCTGCTGTGTCTCTAGATGAAGACGGAGTGGGAGTGCAGAGAAGCAAGCAGGCACAAATAATAACAGAAAGCAGAGTCTCACACACACTGCCTCAGGTGACAGAGATTCCCCCTCCTATTCCGAGGTCCTTGGAAGAGACCTATTATGTGTTACCAACAGAATAGCAGAGGCTTTTGAGGTGATATAATAGGACCACATGGGACCCGCTGACTGGCTGTGTGACTGAATCATTCTCAACAAATGTGTGTAACCTGAGCTCACTCAAGGACAGATTTAAAAGGGATGGGATAGAAGCTTTGTAGCTGTGTTTCAATGTGACATGAGGTTTTCGCCACTGAGCCACTCAGATCATCCTTGTATGACATTAGCACTGGGGGAAAAAAAAGTGATGCATCATTTCATTTTTTAAAACAGCTGAGTCATAAATATGCCATCTGAAAACATTCAAGATCACTGTGTTAGTCTTTTAAAAATTTCACACTGGTTTACAGTAAATTTTGTTATACACAAAAAATGGCTGAAGGATTCAAGGTTTTGCACAGATGAAAAAATGCCACAGAGATAAGACAAGAGGTGTATTCTGGGCAGGCAATGTTATTTGATGATCATATATAATTTATAGAAATCAATTGTGGAGACATCCTCCCTGCTGGTGTACATTTTGTGCCACACACACACGTACAGAAATGACAACCCTCAGGGGGGATATAATCTATGTTTATTCCTTTTTATTGTCTGTCTCGCTCTCTCTTCATCACACATATAGCTTGAAGGACAGAGATGACAACATTTTTATTTCACGTCACAGATTTACCTGCCAGTCTGTGCAGCCCCAGAGATATGCTGAACTAAGAATAGGCTATTTCCCAAAAAAGGTGTACATACTTTTGTTAATCAGCATTTTTAATGCTACATGTTAACTCAAAGCTTTTTATGCATGGTTTTCATGTGTGAACTTTTTTGTGAGCTTTTGATATATGAAAATAAGATTTCATTTGGTGAATTACTATTATCATAAACATTTAGTACATTTAGTAGCTAAAACACAAAGTGAAAGTACAGTGGCAGCATCATTCAGAGACATTACAATTTGTTAGCCAAAACCTAATTATTTAGTCAGCCAAATATATCACCTTAAAAGCCAATAACTGAGTTTTTTTTTAGAGCTCTGTTTGCTGAAACATTTACCAGCTGCATCTGGAAACATGATGGAAGCAACAATGCTGAACCAAAATAGTAAAGATGTGGGTTGTAAAACCAAAACATTGAGCGTAAAATGGAGATGCTGCATGGAGCTGAGAGGAACTGCAAAGTTGTGTGATAATTCATCACTATGAGGTTTTCATGTTACAACCTTTGTTAATCTAAAAATATTTGTGCCAGTGTCATATTATCCCATTAGGAAGGATAGAGCTCCTTCCCTCCTAGTTGTATCCATGATCGTCATGTTATAACAGCCAGAAATTCTTCTCCTTTTTGTTTCCCCTCTCTCACTTTCTCCATTACCTCGTCTCCTCTACCTTAGCTTTTCTCATTTATCCATCTTGTCTTAATTCCAGCCTTTTTCCGCTCAGCATTGTGACCCCGTCTCCCTCCATTTCTCTTACTGTGACTAATTCTTCCCTCCCTCCTCATGTTCGACACTGCTAGTCCTTTCAAAGCTCTATTATTACTGAGAGCCCACAGTGCAAATTATGCATACAACACACATACAAAAGAGGATCCTTGTTCACACTACTGATATCTCATTAAACCAAAATTTGTCAAGTGTGTTCTTGGATTAGAGGCACATTTTCATTGGCTAGTTTTTCAAAATATAAACTTATGACTATTGGATAAACTTGCACATTGCAAACTATTCTAACTCACACAGCCATGCTAAGAGAAAGGGGTGTTGTAGAAGAGGTAAGTGCGCCAAACCAAATTACACGTTGGGGTGGGCGGAGCAAAGCAGTTCACTCTGGAGTCTCATGCTAGCATTATGCATTTTACCAGAACTTGCTGCTTTAAGCTATTCGTTAACTCAGTCAAATTAACAGAGGTCCCCAGTCAGTGGAAACATGCTTGGAGATACTGGACATTACAATTTTCTCTCAAATCCTTATATCATTTAGATAGAAATACACTGACTATAGGAGCTGTGATCACTAGTAGTCAATTTATTTGCTGGACATCCTGTGCAATATCATGCATATTCATTACTTCAAACTTTTGCCAATCTCTCTCTCCTTTTTTTTAATGAAATTACTTTTATAGCCCCAGTGAGAGAAATTCAAATAGTCTCTGGGATAAGAAAGAGACACACTCTTGCTATTCTTTCCATTTCTCCTCAGCATGAGGAGACTAAGTAGTTAACATTGTTTATAAGTGTAAACATCATGAACGCTTGTCATGTGTCTTCTTAGTCAGCTCAATGAGAACTGAGCCATCAAAACCTAACTTGGTGTCTTACTCTTTCCATCACATTGTTGCTATAAGTAGTATTCACCTTGCCTGTCCTCTCTGACCCTTCTGTCCTCACCACATTTCCATCCGTCCTCACCCTGCCAGCATTAGAATAAAAGAGCTCCACTGTTCCTCACATCATCTGCCCGGATTATGGACGAAGCGGAACATATACTGGTCAATGATTCACGCCTGAGTCACAACAACTGATTTTTGACTGTGTGAATGTGTGTGTGCCAAGCTTGACTACCCGCTGTGCCAATTTGGACCTTCTGCTCAGAGTGATTCAGATCCTCCTTGGCTTGGGTGGAGCTGCTCTGTGGTTACTTCTACAACTATCAGCTACAGTGCTGAAAATAGGTTTTACTGTTAAAAAAAAAGGGACTATACAAAATCATTGCAATTCAGTGAAACAGAGTGCAGCTGTGGCTCATTCCTTTACAGTAGCTAGCAGTTAAGGAAGGGCTGAGTCAAATAAAAGGGCTGTACATGCCTGCAGACAGATGCACAGTATGCCCACATTTACATATCATGACAAATCTCAGTGATAATTTATTTAAACTGCCTCATATGTCCATGTTATTTCAGGGTCATGAAAAAATCATTCTGAGCAGAAAGCTCAATATGCAATTCATACATGATATTATGAATGTGTGTGTTTGATGATGAAATTGGAAATGCATACAGTTGAACACTTTATAAAACTTTGACTTTACCTATGATTTAAAGGAAAACCTGAAAAGAAGCACACAAATATCTTGATAGATTTAAAGAGTGGTCACTGGAGCATGCCAAACACCTTTGGTGAACTTCAACAAAAGAAGCAGCCCATTAGCTGTGTAGCACTATTTAGTTTTAATCTGCTATGCTGGACTAAAGAAAGAGGCATAGGCTTTACACAGTTATGATGCAGAATGAAACTGAATAGCAAACGCACTAGAGACTGAGCTAACTAGTGGGTTAAATGGCAGGTAAGCTAGCTAGCTTGGAGAGCCTCTGTTGTAAAACCCAGTGAACACAATGCAAAAGGGGAGTAAACACCACAATACAGAAAAAAATCTCTACTAGTGTTAGCATGCTAGCAGCGAGCTCACCAGCTGGTAATTCTCTATGCACTGTATACAGTTTTTGTGATGTTTGTCTGCAATTGTGATATTTTTTGGTGTAAAAATATTTGACAATTGCCATTGACAAAACAAACAAAAAAAAAAAAGACAATAAATGGAACTAACACAGAATCCTGTATGTTTATTAGCTGATTGGTGGAATTTGCTAATAAAAGTTAAATTAAATCCCCCAAATTAAACACTTATCTGTCATCTTGACCTCTACACCCCTGACTTCATCCTCACTATATCAAGGGCACATTGTTTCCTGTATTAGCATTGAATATTGTCACTGGATGTAAGTAAAGAGCTGCAGAATAATGGAATTCCTAGGGGCATTGAGCTAAAAGGTATTGCTGTTGAATTTTAAAATAACTATTCAACAGTATTCACATCCATTGTATTGGATAGAGACTGAAATCCCAGTGACATAAACTGTTTTGTTATTTGGTTAAATTAATCCTTTAAAAAGACTGTGTTAAGCAAGGGTTCGACAAATCCTACCACTGTAGATTTTGCCAGTTCATCATATACAATTTGAATGGCGATGTTTAAGATTGCTCAGTCACAGGAACTGACTGATCAAATGAGAAAACCAAACATCTGTCTCTGTCCATAAAAAGCTGCATTCACCAGTGTCATGTCTGCAAGTACGGTTACAATGTGAGCTACTGGTTGTCTACAGATCCAAGTCAAAACACAAGTGCAATGACACATGAAGGGAAACTTGATGCTCTATTCCTATACACGTTCCAACACACATGCACTGGGGCCCCTGTGATGTCACTTAATGCAGTTTGGAGCCATATATTTTTCATCAACAGAAAATGGATGTATGGCTCTTATATCATAAAGGAACCCATCCATTAGCCTGGTGAGGTGGATACTCCAAGACAATACTAAACTGACAGCTAATCACATAAACATAGACTAGCGTATGCATACAGGGATGTCAGAGAAATTCAATTTCATTAATCTGATTGTTGTGTAGTGATGTATGGCTTGTGGAAAATGGCAGAGAGAGTTACAGGTGCATCAGTGCATAATGTCAAGCTAGCCTATCACTGCTGATTAATTTGTTAGCCATGGTGTGTGTGTGTGTGTGTGTGTGTGTGTGTGTGCGTGTACGTGTGTGTGTGTGGCAGCCTTGCTTGACAGGCTGGAGGTGCAACCTATAACATGCAGCCTGTAATTGAAAGCTGCAATGTAGTGAAGTGATCTGCAGCAGCAGCTGTGTGCTTATATGTGCATATAATCATCTCCATTATCTGAGTATGTCAGTGTGCAATCTTTTTATCCATGCTGCATGTTGTCAGGGTGTTCATTCACATGCCCCAAAATGCCAGAATGTCGCAGAACTTTAATAAAACCATGGAAATGCAGATCAAAAAGACACAGCAAGAAAACGAAGCAGCTGATATGTGGGCAAGCAAACCTGCTAGTTTTCTGACACCAAAAAAATGTAACCAGAATCCTCATACAGTTTTATTGTCAGTGATTTTAGCAGTTACTGAAGCACAGCAGACAAAGTTTTCCTTTATGGACCAGATATTATTGATGAATTGATTCCTAGTTAAAGAAATCTGTCACGTGAAAGTTTCTATAAGAGGAAGGCTGTCCTGATTGGGCTTAATGGGCAGATCCAAATAAAATCATAATTCAAGCAGTAGCTTGACATTTTGGAAAATAAACTTTTCCACTTTCTTGGGCAGAAGAAAAATCCAATCTCATGTCTGTACAATAAACTGGAAGGAAGAACAATGCGACAGCTCCCAGAAATCAAGGCACTGCAAATTGATCACCTGTTCAATTGATCATTGAACCCCTGGTGGTTGGTTGCAGTATAAGTCATAAACCCCACCCACTCCAAATGAAACATCTAAAGTACTAATGAAAAGATTTTCTCCCAAAGGTGATTTCTGACATTTTTTGGTAGACATTAACATATATAATTGACTTCACACATTTATGACAATTTCACCAAGGTACCTCCCTTTTTGTGTGTCTGCACAGCAAAGACTGAGAATGCTAACAGTTCTTTGAACACAATTTTGAAGGACCTTTTTAGCTCCTACTTCAGGGTAGGTACTCTCCAAGCACAACAGGAACCATGAGTTACATATATGTTAACCTCAGCACTGCTGACTGTCATTTTTTAGAAACCTATCAACAGCCATCAGAGCAACAGTGGGACCTGCAGTCTGCCAATTGAAGCCTCTGTAGAGGGTTAGTGGCTCATTATATTAACATTAGCACCAAAAAAAAAAAAAAAAAGCAGTTACTGGTAATGTGATGCTGCTATCAGTTAACTGTTGCTGGCTATAACAGTCAGCCAGCTTTTAGCATTATGTTACTTCAGTGTTCCTGCTGTTGGTCCAAATGCAAACAGAGAAAACCTGTGAAGGTATGCATCTATGGGTGGACCTCCACGGTGGGGTAGTTCCTAGAACTAAGTCCCAAGAACTGTTTGGTCCAAAAGTGCCTGTATTTGGCATACAGAGACAAGTATCCATCTTCTCATCTGACTCTTGCTAAGAAAGGGAATACTCAACATGTCACACTGTTCTCTTATTTGGAGCTTAATGAATAAAGAGTCAAGAGAAGATAAAGACAAAATAGTGGCCTACCCACTGTAAAAAACAAACAAACTCTAATTTAGCTTATATTTATAGCACATCTATGCTTGTCACTGACCTTCATTATGAATGTCACAGCCAAGAATGATCAACAATAAAGTCACTGGCATTTGCATTATAAATTTATGAGTGCCTTCTTTGACACTCTTTAATTGTCTTAAGTACATGCAGCATATGAAATGACATGCACACTGGTTAGTATTGTGTCCCTGTCATGACTTGCTCTGACTCCAGTTATGTACTACATGACTACATCTGTCACATACCCATTTATTCATGGGCTTCATGCAACAAATGTGGTAATGTCAGCAAAGCAGCACCAATTTGTGAAGGTATGCTGAGAATGCTTCTCATGCAGATTCAGAGTAGCTTTAACCTTTGCACTATGTTAACACATGAGCAAGAAGGATGAGAGGTAGTATCACCTTATGATATTTACAAAGAGTTGCATTTTGCATTTAATCTTGTTTTGTAAATTTGGGCATGAGTATAAGCACATGAAATTTCCTTTTGCACTTAAACTCAAAATTTATGCTACTAATGGTTAACCATCTCAATGTGATGCTGTAATCAAGCAAGTGCTAATATACAACATGTACCAAATGAATCACTCTGAATCATCAAGGGAGCTGAATCTGTTCTGCCATCTTAATACATGTAAATACAGATTTAATCCACTTTGCTACTAATTACATGCTGCTCCAGCAGATTATTTACACAACTGTCCCATTCTTGGGAGCTATTAATTTCATTTTAATCAGATACAGCTGGATAAATGCAATCACAGAGATTAGTAGCCAGGAAGGAAGGACACACAGACATTAACAATCCATCCACACAGAGACGAGGCACACATACTGTAAATATGCATGTGTGAGCACAGACACACACAGCAGCAGCCGCAGCTGTTAGTTCTGAGTGTTGCAGTGATGAAACTAGAGATGCTACTCACTCCTCTTAATAAAATTCCCACTGGCAGTGTCAGCCAACTGTAGTAGAATGCTAATGTACATGAGAGCTTCCCTGCGTGGGCAGACCTGCTGCTTCATTCAGAAATACAGTATGTGACTGTAGTGATAGTGGAAGTGGAGAAAAAGTGTTTCACTAGATAAATTATGTAAAATCAGAATTATTTGTAAAAGTGCAGGTCAGTGTTCAGCCAGTACATCACTGGTACATCCTCTGGTCTGATAAACAACTTCACAGTCCCTGTCAGATATATGATGTGTCACTACAGAGTGAAGAATGAATAGCCAACTAATGTAGTACGTAGGTACTATATATGAAGGCAGAGCAAATAAACCATGTCCTACCTCTCCTGGTCTGTCTGATCTTTGGGCTCAGCATGGCTGTCATCGCTCGTCCAAACACTCTCCTGTCGGCATGTTCATGTACATCCAAGCACCCCACCCGTCTCTTCCTCTGCCCCTGTATTTGCCTCTCTCCTCTTCTTCTCTCTCTGACCTTCTGCAGTGTGGCCGGCAGCTAGGGGGTTGGGTGAAGAGAGGAGGGGAGGAGAATGGAAAGAGAAGGGGGTGGTAAAGGAGGAGGAACTACCCTTCTTTTTTCCCCACTGTGCACACACGCCCAATGGCCTCCACCCCACCCTGTTTCATTATTCATAGCGGTACATGCGCCAGGGGTACATGGAGGAGGAGATGTGTGGGGAGGGTCTGCCACTGGCACAGCACAGGTCTGACTGTCTAACAGATGCTTGATTTTAAGTGTTCTTAGTTGCTGCAATGACTGTATTGAGAGAGATGGGAAGGGGGTGTTTATCTGGCAGGTGGCTCTTCCTCCTGCACCTAATTAAGCTGTGGAGGTCCTCAGCTAGTCTCCACCTTCTTTCTCTCTCATGTTCTATTTCCCTCTCTCTATTTCTCTCCCTAGCTATATCCATGTTTCATCTCCTTCTCTTGCCAATTTCTCTTTTACTTAATTACTGCTAACTTTTATTCTTGATAACTTTGTGTAAATATTTCTATATTTATAAGTACTTGTTTTTACTTTACTAACACACATTCCTTTTTCTTGTTTACATTCTTTTTCTTTCTTTGTTGTTCTCTCAGTCTTAACTTGTTGCTTTATAGAAGAATATTGTACATACACATTGGAAGCCACTGTACCAGAGTCAGAGTCCTTGTGCGTCTAACACACCTGGCTCGTAAAGCTAATTCTTATACTGATTCCTTCACCATTTTTGTCTTTGTCACTCTTGGCTTTCTAAAAATAATGCCGTCTTCAATTCGCAGCCATACATGGGAAATTCCCAGCTCAAAGAGTAGGTCATAATTATATCCTCCAGGCACTGTAGTGGCACAACTGTGTAAAAAAAAAAAAAAAAAAAACAAAGGAAAAGAAATATGGTTCCTTCTCAAAGAAAACAGTATCTTGTCCCCTAGAGATAAAATGGCCTGTAGCTGACACGTGTGTGTGTGTGTGTGTGTGTGTGTGTGTGTGTGTGGCACTGGTAGAAATTTATAGCCAACAGGAAAAATGTCACCTGTGCCTTTGGCACCTGATTTCCAGTTGTTGTTCTTATCTATTGTGAGGTTCCTGGAAATGGTAAATGGTTTATAGTACACAGTAATGGATCACAAATACAGTGATCATTTCATTCTGCTCTACAGTAATATGCAGCAAACTAAATCCTTAGCAAACAGTAACAGAGCTGCTTATTCTATTGTTCTTACTCACCCGTCACATGTGCTCTCCACTTAGCTCAACTGGGGTTATCTTGAAATATGGTAATATTAGCAAACATTTACTGTAGATTTACAGTAGATGGTTTACAGCCTGTACTAAAACATGTACTCACTCCTACACACAGAAAAATATTAAAAGCTGTGAAATTAAGTTTGTATACCGTAACTTACACTCACTGCCCATTTTATTGGGTACAGCTGTATGCAATTCAATACAACACTTTCAGTTTTTGGTGAAATAGTCATACATGTATGTATGTATGTATGTACTGGACTACATTATATTCAGGTGTTCCTAATATTCTGAGCCTCTCACATATGTAGCTGGGGAGGACAAAAATATAGACACCTCTAAATATAATGTAGTTCAGTAAAACACCATTTTTAACTACAACCTCAATAATAAACGCATAATTGGACTTATACCTTTATGACTATTTGACCAAAAACTGAAACATGGTGACCAAGAAAGTAAATAAGCCTATTTTCCAGAATGTCAAACTACTGCTTGAACATGATTCTATTTGGATCTGCCCATTAAGCCTAATCAAACAGTGTGATTAAGACTTCCTCTTAACAAAACTTCCAGGTGACAGATTTCTTTATCCATGCAGCATGGATAAAATAAAAAAAAATCACTGACGACGCACTCGGTGCACATTGAGATGACTATACACACAGTTATGCACACAGCTGCTGCTGCTGCAGTTCAATTCACAACATTGCACCTAATAAAATGGCTGGTGAGGGTACTGTATATAATTGCTATACACACTGGTTAATAGCCTTCCTGTGGACTTCTTCCTTTTTAAGGTAGCATAGATATTCCACTTTTGACCCATTCACAAACAAGTAACATAAGCTAATGCGTGATGAAATGTGTCGATCCATCCATTATCTATGCCAATTGTCCTGAAGAGCAGCGGTTCTTAGCCTATTTTGAGTGATCGCCCCTTAAGACAAATTGAAACCTCTTGCTCCTTTTTTACTCAAGTAAAGAATCTGAGTACCTACTTCTCCCATCACTACTGAAGATCGCCTTTAAGGAACAAACAAATGAATAAGCTGAAAATCACCGCAATGTCTACATTACATTTTGAACAAACACACTGCAATTAACACTTGGAAAACAACAAAAAACTAATCAATGCCTGCTAGAATCAACATTAACCAGAGGACAGCCTTCAGTGTGTAGGAACATTAACAGCTTACTACTATCCCCCTGCCTGGCGAATATCTGCTAATTTATTTATGGAAGGACAGAATGATAACTTTGAGCCTGCAGTGAACACGATGCTATAGTAGATTTAGCTGGTTTTGTACTTTGACTGCAATGTAAAGCATTTGGCTGAATCCTCAATGAGGCATGACATTACAATGAGAGCTAACGTTAACTTTAGCCAAATTCGACTTTATGGCGGAGACGCTAACCTTAGCTCTCAATTAGCTTCCATCGTTAGCGTAAACATCGCTAGCTTTAGCTTCGTTACAAAACAATACAAAAAGTAGCTCTTTTTTCACATTCAACGTCGACATTAACATAGTAACAATTCTTATTAAAATGCCACAACTTTACAGTGTCTGGTGGAATATATTCACTTTAAATTAAGGAAACAACTAGTGAAAAAAGTAACAACACCACAACAATCTTCTCGCTGTCACTGTTCTCGCGCCAGTCACTAGGCATAACTAACCGACTGACGCATAATTAACTCCCACAGAAAATATCTGCATTAAATGGGCCATTTACACACACTTAACACACCTGCTTCCTCAGTGTCCAACATTATCACCCAATCCCGCTAACAGCTGGCTAACGTCCACCGCCCCCTGACGTTCTCTGATTCTGAAGGCCCACACTGGGGTCGTTACCGCCTCCGTTCGAGGATCCACTGGATCGACTGGAGAGGCTGTAGCCAACCTTACAGTACCTGGCACTGGAAGAGAAGCGAGGTATCGCCGGGACTGATTGCCCTTTTCGGAGGACCAGTCACACTCACAATCACATCTAGAGCAATTTAGATTCACCCACAGAGCTAATTGGTTTAAGAGCAAATTTATTTTATTCCCCTTTTATAGTGAAAAAAGGTTGTCAAAAATGA